TCTTGGCTGTATGACAGGCAACTGTGATGGGTACACTGCTGATGGGTGGCAGTGATGGCGGCTCTGTTATGGGTACACTGATTAGGCTGTACTGGTGTATGCACTGACAGGTACACTGATAGGCTTCCCTGATGGATGTGCTGACAGGTGCCCTGATAGGCTGCACAACACGTACGCTGACGGGCTGTATTGACAGGTACACTGACAGGCTGCACAACAAATTCAATGATGGGCTGTGCTGACAGGTACGTGATGGGCTGTATGACAGGTACACTGAAGGGCTCATTCCTCTGCCATCAGCATGAGTCGCTTCTGACAAGTTTTCCTGACACTAAGAGAAAAAAAGTGAAAGGGGAGGGACATCCAGACTCAGCTCTGTTTCTGTGAGCTGTGTGAAGGAGGTGTGTCCCTTCCCTCCAATCAGCTCTCCTCACTTAGCTCTGCAGCGTGTAACTTCATCTTCCTACCCCGGGCTTTTTGAAAGCTCAGACAAGCTGTAAAAATTCAGTACTTTGAACAGATGTAGAGAAGGCTACAGATAAACAGGTACAACTTATGTAGTAAGATTTGTTTTATCTCTGAATATCACCTGAGGCCAGTCACTTCCCGGGTATATGTAAGGTTTTACAACCAATGTAAATGTTTACTAGTTGGCTGCACTCAATGCATAGAATGTTGAATTCAGTATTATGCTAATGAGCTGACTGCCAACTAGTAGTAAAATCTCTCAGCAGCAGTGTCTGAATCACCAGTGTAGCCCTAGCCACAGTGAGCAATAAAACTAGTTGACAATATGGATTGCAGAATAAACATTAGAGCCACTTGGATGTACCCGAGTCTGTTTAAATCAAACCTACAGGTGAAACTCAAAAAATTAGAATATCGTGCAAAAATTCATTTATTTCAGTAATGCAACTTAAAAGGTGAAACTAATATATGAGATAGACTCGTTACATGAAAACAAGATAGTTCAAGCTGTGATTTGTCATGATTGTGATGATTATGGCTTACAGCTCATGAAAACCCCAAATCCACAATCTCAGAAAATTAGAATATTGTGAAAAGGTGCAATATTCTCGGCTCAAAGTGTCCCACTCTAATCAGCTAATTAAGCCATAACACCTGCAAAGGGTTCCTGAGCCTTTAAATGGTCTCTCAGTCTGGTTCAGTAGGAATCACAATCATGGGAAAGACTGCTGACCTGACAGTTGTGCAGAAAACCATCATTGACACCCTCCATAAGGAGGGAAAGCCTCAAAAGGTAATTGCAAAATAAGTTGGATGTTCCCGAAGTGCTGTATCAAAGCACATTAATAGAAAGTTATGTGGAAGGGAAAAGTGTGGAAGAAAAAGATGCACAAGCAGCAGGGATGACCGCAGCCTGGAGAGGATTGTCAGGAAAAGGCCATTCAAAAGTGTTGGGGACTTTCACAAGGAGTGGACTGAGGTTGGAGTCAGTGCATCAAGAGCCACCACACACAGACAGATCCTAAACATGGGCTTCAAATGTCGTATTCCTTTTGTCAAGTCGCTTCTGAACAACCAACAACGTCATAAGCGTCTTACCTGGGCTAAAGAAAAACAGACCTGGTCTGTTGCTCAGTGGTCCAAAGTCCTCTTTTCTGATGAGAGCAACTTTTGCATCTCATTTGGAAACCAAGGACCCAGAGTATGGAGGAAGAATGGAGAGGCACACACTGCAAGATGCTTGAAGTCCAGTGTGAAGTTTCCACAGTCTGTGTTGATTTGGGGAGGCATGTCATCTCCTGGTGTTGGTCCACTGTGCTTCATTAAGTCCAGGGTCAATGCAGCCGTCTACTAGGAGATTTTGGAGCACTTCATGCTTCCTTCCTCAGACAAGCTTTATGGGATGCTGACTTCATTTTCCAGCAGGACTTGGCACCTGCCCACACTGCCAAAAGCACCAAAACCTGGTTCAATGAAAGATGAGAGACATGAGACCAAACAATGCAGAAGAGCTGAAGGCCACTATTGAAGCATCCTGGTCTTCCATAACACCTCAGCAGTGCCACAGGTTGATAGCTTCCATGCCACGCCTCATTGAGGCAGTAATTGCTGCAAAAGGGGCCCAAACCAAGTACTGAATACATATGCTTATACTTTTCAGAGGTCCGGTATTGTTCTATGTACAATCCTTGTTTTATTGATTGCATGTAATATTCAAATTTTCTGAGATTGTGGATTTGGGGTTTTCATGAGCTGTAAGTCATCATCACAATTATGACAAATCACTGCTTCAACTATCTTGCTTTGCATGTAGTAAGTATCTCATATATTAGTTTCAACTTTTAAGTTGCATTACTGAAATAAATAAACTTTTGCACGATATTCTAAATTTTCAAGTTTTCACCGGTACAGTAAGATAAATAAGTAGCCTTCCTACAATGCTAGGAAGAAGTTGGGCTTTAGTTCTTTTCTACAGCAAGGTTTGATTCACAACTCGGCCTGTCAGGAATGTGTGCTTTCCCAACACCCACAGCAATGCGCTGATCTTTAGTACATGTGCTGGGGTGCCATTTTGTCTTAGACCCCATGTACACGGGACACTTCTGAACGATAGAGACTGCTGGAAAACATAGGTTAAAAAAACGTCTGTTTAGCTGCATTTGCATACCGCGTTTATGAGCGTTTGCGTTTAGAAGAGTGTTTTAAAGATAACCTCAGGAGACCTTCCAAAATGCCCAGAATGCACTGAAAAACAGCAAAAATAACAATTTCAGACATTTTGAGAGAAATAAAGAGAGCAGAAGCAGAGAGAGCAGTATTTGTTGAGATTAGCTGTCTTTTTTTTTTTTTATGTAGTGTTTGGATGTGTTCCAGCTCATTTCTGTGCAGAACTTATTGCAGCAATGTCTAACATTTTTTTTTCATGCAAAACCTCAAAGTATGGTGTGCTAGGTCCATTTGAGTACCGGGAAAACGCTTTGCATGCATTTTTCATGATGAAAAAAGGCTCTGGACAGTATCTGAAAATGGAAGCGTTAAAAAAAATTTTCAAAAAAAAAAGAAAAAAAAAAACACATGCAACCACCCCATATAAATAATTCATAAGCTGCAATAGGTTACATCTTTCGGTAAATCTGTGAATGATCACAGAGGTCACATGGTACAAGGCTATTCACAACAGCCTTGTACCATGTGACAAGCTGTGACCAATCACAGCTCACTCAGTACTTCTCAATGAGTGCAAGAATACAGACAGAGAGAAAGAGAAATGATTGCTTTTACATCCTATATGGGTGTAAAAACAATCAGTGCAAAAAAAAAAAAAAAAAAAAAAAAAAAAAAAGAAAAACCTTCATCACCCCCCACAAGTAGTACAGTGTCACCATGGTGACACTGTACTGCTAGGGTGACAGTATGTAAAAAATAAAAAATATATAAAAAAATAAAATAAAAATGTAAAAAAAAAATGTTTAAAAATTATAATTTTTGGTTATAAACTAATTTGGATTTTTTTTTTTTCACTAAAGAGATAACGGAATAAATTTTGGCCAAGATTTATGATGAAATATTATTTATTTGCAAAATTTTTATGAAAAAAAACTTTCAAAATTTTTGAACTTTTTCATTTACATACCAAAAAAAATAAAAATCCCAGCGGTGAATAAATACCACCAAATAAAGCTTTATCTGTCTCAAAAAAAATGGTAAAAAATTCATATGGGTACAGTGTTGCAAGACCGCGCAATTGTCATTCAAAGTGTGATAGCGCTCAAAGCTGAAATTGCCCTCGTCAGGAAGGGGGTAAAAAGTGTCCGGTCTGGAAGTGGTTAATGATAGGTTCACATCTAGCAGTTTCATGCATGCCATGTTTGCACAGACAAAGCAGCTCATGCATTTAAATGGGCTGCTGTACCTGTGGAAAATGTAGGAAACGTTTTCCAGCACTTTTTGTAAATTGTGTGCCAGAGGACTCATCAGAGCAAACAGTGTAGGTTTATAAACTCCAGGTTAGACAATATGACTTAGAACAGCGGTTCTCAACCTGGGGGTCGCGACCCCTTTGGGGGGATCGAACGACACTTTCCCAGGGGTCGCCTAAGACCATCGGAAAACACATATTTCCGATGGCCTTAGGAACCGAGACACCGCTCCTGTGATCCGTCTGCAGGTTGGGCGGGATGACATGCCGTCCCTGTCATCTGGACACACCCCCGGGATCAATCCTTCCTTGTCGGTGATTGGCCGCCGGAACTGTAGCTCAAGAGAGGCACACAGGCGGCCAATCACCGGCGAGGAGGTGGAGCTTGGAAAGGAGGAGCCGAGCGGCACCGCGAAGCACGAGCGAGTGAAGAGGAGGAAAGCGGCCGGAGAAGGAAGCCATCTGACCGGTAAGTGTTTGTACCATGGGAGAGGGAGGGAGCGAGCGAGCCCAGGCTGGAGCAGGGGTCAGCAAGATAAGTATCATTGGTGTCAGTGGGAGGAATAGTGCCCAATCATTGGTGTCACTATTACCAATGATGGGGCACTATTCCTCCCCCCACTGACACCAACGATGGGACACTATTCCTCCCACTGACACCAACGATGGGGCACTATTCCTCCCACTGACACCAACGATGGGGCACTATTCCTCCCACTGACACCAACGATGGGGCACTATTCCTCCCACTGACACCAACGATGGGGCACTATACTTCCCTCTGATACCAACGATGGGGCACTATTCCTCCCACTGACACCAATGTTGGGGCACTATTGCTCCCCCTGATGCCAACGATGGGGCACAATTCCTCCCACTGACACCAATGATGGGGGCACTATTCCTCCCACTGATACCAATGATGGGGCACTATTCCTCCCACTGACACCAATGATGGGGCACTATTCCTCCCACTGACACCAATAATGGGGCCGTATTCCCCCCACTGACACCAATGATGGGGCACTATTCCTCCCACTGACACCAGTGATGGGGGCACTATTCCTCCTCCCACTGACACCAGTGATGGGGCACTTTTCCTCCCACTGACACACAGTGATGGGACACTATTCTTCCCACTGACACCAGAGATGGGGCACTATTCCTCCCACTGACACCAATGATGGGGCACTATTCCCCCCACTGACACCAATGATGGTGCACTATTCCCCCCACTGACACCAATGATGGGGCACTATTCCCCCACTGACACCAATGATGGGGCACTATTCCCCCCACTGACACCAATGATGGGGCACTATTCCCCCCACTGACACCTATGATGGGGCACTATTCCTCCCATTGACACCAACGATGGGGCACTATTCCTCCCCCCCACTGACACCAACGATGGGGCACTATTCCTCCCCCCACTGACACCAACGATGGGGCACTATTCCCCCCACTGACACCTATGATGGGGCACTATTCCTCCCATTGACACCAACGATGGGGCACTATTCCTCCCCCCACTGACACCAACGATGGGGCACTATTCCTCCCCCCACTGACACCAACGATGGGGCACTATTCCTCCCACTGACACCAATGATGGGGCACTATTCCTCCCACTGACACCAACGACGGGGCACTATTCCTCCCACTGACACCAACGATGGGGCACTATTCCTCCTACTGACACCAACGATGGGGCACTATTCCTCCTACTGACACCAACGATGGGGCACTATACTTCCCTCTGATACCAACGATGGGGCACTATTCCTCCCACTGACACCAATGTTGGGGCACTATTGCTCCCCCTGATGCCAACAATGGGGCACTATTCCTCCCACTGACACCAATGATGGGGGCACTATTCCTCCCACTGATACCAATGATGCGGCACTATTCCTCCCACTGACACCAATGATGGGGCACTATTCCTCCCACTGACACCAATAATGGGGCCGTATTCCCCCCACTGACACCAATGATGGGGCACTATTCCTCCCACTGACACCAGTGATGGGGCACTATTCCTCCCACTGACACCAGTGATGGGGCACTTTTCCTCCCACTGACACCAGTGATGGGACACTATTCCTCCCACTGACACCAGTGATGGGGCACTATTCCTCCCACTGACACCAATGATGGGGCACTATTCCCCCCACTGACACCAATGATGGGGCACTATTCCCCCCACTGACACCAATGATGGGGCACTATTCCCCCCACTGACACCTATGATGGGGCACTATTCCTCCCATTGACACCAACGATGGGGCACTATTCCTCCCCCCACTGACACCAACGATGGGGCACTATTCCTCCCCCCACTGACACCAACGATGGGGCACTATTCCTCCCCCCACTGACACCAACGATGGGGCACTATTCCTCCCCCCACTGACACCAACGATGGGGCACTATTCCTCCCCCCACTGACACCAACGATGGGGCACTATTCCTCCCCCCACTGACACCAACGATGGGGCACTATTCCTCCCCCCACTGACACCAATGATGGGGCACTATTCCCCCCACTGACACCTATGATGGGGCACTATTCCCACAACTGGCACCAATGATGGGGCACTATTCCTACCACTGACACCAATGATGGGGGCACTATTCCTACCACTGATACCAATGATGGGGCACTATTCCTCCCATTGACATCAGTGATGGGGCACTATTCCTCCCACTGATATCAATGATGGGACACTATTCCTCCCACTGACACTAATGACGTGGCACTATTCCTCCCACTGATACCAATGATGGGGCACTATTCCTCCCACTGACACCAATGATGAGGCACTATTCCTACCACTGCAAAATTACAGTTATGAAGTAGCAACGAAAATAATTTTATGGTTGGGGGTCACCACAACATGAGGAACTGTATTAAGGGGTCGCGGCATTAGAAAGGTTGAGAACCACTGACTTAGAGTTTCTTTGGTCAAAAAGGTAATTAGCTCCCGTTGTGGTCAGCCTATGAGGAGGGAAAGGATAGCTCAGGAGCAAGCCCACATGAGCGCCCCCATAGCAAGTAGTTTGCTATGGGGGCACTTGGCTAGTTCTCAAGCCCAGCTGTGTGTGCCCATTGACAGAGTGCGGCTTGCCCCACTCCCCTCCCCTCACTAGCTGGGAATGGCTCCCGCTGCTGTATCTGAGCCAATGAGGAGAGAGAAAGACATTACTCTTGTGCACATAGCAGGATCACATTTAGGATCTGGTAAGTAAAAAGGGGGTGGGGACTGGGAGCTGCATGCAGATTTTTACCTGAATGCATTAAAGTTTAAAAAAAAAACCCTGCCTTTGAAAGCACATTACATATAGGCTAATAGGGGTGTTGCATTATAGGACAAAGTTCCATGACTAGTGTAATGAGGGCCAGTAAACAAATAATGTAATGAAGGCAGAGATAGCATAAAGAGGAACTTCACTCCTCCCTGTGTTTTTTTTTTTTTAATTATTTTTCTATTCCTTTCTCACATACCCAGAAAATCTAATGTTGGCAGAGTAGGACCTGGCCGATCACAGCAGGACATCATCTTCCCGGACGTCATTAGGAGCTAGGCTGTCTCTTGCAGGTTCAGCCAGTCACTGGCTAGCCACTCTCTGCCCCTGGAGGATATGGCATTAGGATATCTCACGAAGGCTTAAGGCACAGGAACATGCTACTTGCACCTAGGATGGGCTGGTTTAAAAGTAAAAATGTAAATAAAAAGGAGAAAAATGGACATTTTATACTTTAAGGGGAAGAGGATTGCAGGCAGGAAAAGTCCATCTTTCGAGTGAAAGTCTGCTTTAAATGTGGGATTCTATAATTGTATAAGTAGCTGAAAAGGACACATCCATAGAAAATAAAATACCTCCATTCTCAGTTTGGTGAAAATTATAAAAAGAAAACATTGAAAAGTTTAGAGAACCCTGCTTTAGAGGAAACACTTCAAAACAAAGGGCCAGTTTAATGTCCTTACTTTAGGGAAGCCGGATTGTGGCCAGTGAGGGCAGAAAATGTCCTGGGCTCAGCATCAATGAGAATCAACATGGCCTCAGGGTTGGTGGTCAGTAAGAGGAGTACTGTCCCATCATTGGTATTAGTGGGGAGAATAGTACTCCATTATCAGTGGAATAAATGGTGCCCCATTGTTGGTGCCAGTAGGAGGAATAGTGTTTCTTATCACTGGGAAGATTAGTGCCCAAAGGGTAAGATAAAGGCTAGTAAAGGGCCACATCAGGCCCTCAGAGATCCCTGCTCTAAAACATCGCTATATGCAAATTTTAAATTTTAATACTCATTCAAAGCTAAAACACATTTTGTTTAATGACACCACTTTGATAATTCTCATAGCAAATTAAAGTTATACGTCTAGTGTAGCCTTCAATAAAAAAAATTACATAGCTTGCTTTTATGTAACAGAAGCTTTTCCCTGCTGGGGAAAAAAAAAGTGATAAAATGAAACAACCAAATTATGGTACAAAAGACATGAAAGCATGGTGAGTGTGACCTCCTGTGGTCACTTACAGGAATAACAGGACTCACTAGGAATAGGCAAAAAGCCTCCCCCTGCCTCCAAAACATAAAAGGTTCTAATCAATGTATAAAACAAAGACATTTTGGGTTTTAACAAATAGTTAGGTCCATATATATATATATATATATATATATATATATATTTGGAAAGGCACAATTAGATTTCTCAGGTATATACCAAACACATTTAAGCTACAGTTGCAAGAAAAAATATGTGAACCCCTTGGGATTACGTGGAGTTTTGCATGAATTGGGCATAAAATGTGCTCTGAACGTCATCTAAGTCACAACAATAAAAGAACACAGTCTGCTGAACATAATACTACACAAACATTAGATGTTGCCATGGTTTAATTGCACATGACATGTAAACATTCACAGTGCAGGGAGGAAAAAGTATGTGAACCTTTGGACTTAATAACTGGTTGACCCTCCTTTGGCAGCAATAACCTCAACCAAACATTTCCTGTAGTTGCAGATCAGACCTGCACAACGATCTGGAGTAACTTTGGACCACTCCTCTTCACAAAACTGTTTCAGTGTAGCAATATTCTTGGGATGTCTGGTGTGAATCGCTCTCTTAAGGTCATGCCACAGCATTTCAATCGGGTTGAGGTCAGGACTCTGACTGGGCCACTCCAGAAGGCGTATTCTGTGCTGTTGCAGCCATTGTTTTGTTGAATTACTTGTATGCTTTGGGTCATTGTCCTGTTGCATCACCCATCCTCTGCGGAGCTTCAGTTGGCGGACAGATGGTCGTACGTTTTCCTGCAAAATGTCTTGATAAACTCTGGAATTCATTTTCCCATCAATGACAACAATCCATCCAGGCCCTGAGGCAGCAAAGCAGCCCCAAACCATAATGCTTCCTCCGCCATGTTTTACAGTGGGGATGAGGTTTTGATGTTGGTGTGCTGGGCCTTTTTTTCTCCACACATAGTGTTGTGTGTTCTTCCCAAACAACTCAATCTTGGTTTCATCTGTCCACAGTATATTTTGCCAGTAGTGCTGTGGAACATCCAGGTGCTCTTTTGCAAACTTCAAACGTGCTGCAATATTCTTTTTGGACAGCAATGGCTTCCTCCGTGGTGTCCACCCATGTACTCCATTCTTGTTTAATGTTTTCCTTATTGTAGATGTGTCAACAAAAATGTTAGCATGTGCCAGAGATTTCTGTAGGTCTTTAGCTGACACTCTGGGATTCTTCTTTTTACCTCATGCAGCATTCTGCGCCGTGCTCTTGCAGTCATTTTTACAGGACGACCATGCCTAGGGAAAGTAGCAACAGTGCTAAACTTTCTCGATTTGTAGACATTCTGTGTTACCATGGACACAATGAACATCAAGGCTTTTGAAGATACTTTTGTAACCCTTTCCAGCTTCATGCAAGTCAACAATTCTTAATCGTAGGTCTTCTGAGAGCTCTTTTCTGCGAGGCATGGTTCACATCAGACAGTGCTTCTTGAAACCAGTAAACCCAAAATAGGTGTGTTTTTTAAGGGCAGGACAGCTGTCAGCAACACATCCAATATCATCACACTGATTGCAGTCAAGGTTGGCTCACTCCTGGCTCCAATTAGCTCTGGGAGAAGTCATTAAGCTAGGGCCTCACATACTTTTTCCTCCCTGCACTGTGAATGTTTACATGTTATGTGCAATTAAACCATGGCAACATCTAATGTTTGTGTAGTATTATGTTCAGCAGACTGTTCTTCTATTGTTGTGACTTAGATGACTTTCAGAGCATATTTTATGCCCAATTCATGCAAAACTCCACGTAATCCCAAGGGGTTCACATACTTTTTCTTGCAACTGTATATCATGGATATGGGCTGAAAGTGCACACTCAGGTTTAATTTGAGAGTATGTACATCCAAATTTGAAGGTTTAGGAATTACAGCTCTTAAGGGTAGCCACCCCCCCTTTTTTTTTCAAGGAACCAAAAGTAATTGGACAATTGAATCAAAAGCTATTTCATGGCCAGGTGTGGGTACTCCATTATTTCTTCATCGATTAAGCAGGTAAAAGGTCTGGAGTTGATTCCAAGTGTGGTATTTACATTTGGAATCTATTGCTGTGATCCTACATCATGCATTCAAAGGAGCTGTCCGTGCAAGTGAAACGGGCCATTGTAATGCTTCAAAAACAAAACAAATCCATCAGAGAGATAGCAGCAACATTAGGAGTGGCCAAATCAACAGTTTTGTACATTGAGGAAAGAATGCACTGGTGAGCTCAGCAACATAAAAAAGGCAAGGACATCCACGGAAGACAAGAGTGGTAGATGATTGCAGGATCCTCTCTATTGAGAAGAAAAACCCATTCACAACATCCAAACAAGTGAAGGACACTCTCCAGGAGGTGGGCATATCATTGTCTACAATCTACAATCAAGATAAGACTTCACAAGAGCAAATACAGAGGGGTACCACAAGGTGCAAACCATTCATAAGCCTGAAGAATAGAAAAGCCAGATTAGACTTTGCCAAAAAAACATTTAAAAAAGCCAGACCAGTTCTGGAAAAGCATTCTTTGGACAGATGAAACCAAGACTAATCTGTGCCAAAATGACAGGGGGGGAGAGAAGAAGTGTGGAGGCTTGGAACAGCTCATGATCCAAAGCACACAACGTCATCTGTAAAACATGGTGGAGGCAGTGTGATGGCATGGGCATGCATGGCTTCCAGTGGCACTGGGTCATTGGTGTTTGATGCGACAGAAGACAGAAGCAGCCAGAGGAATTCTGCAGTGTTGAGATATACTGTCAGCCCAGATTCAGCCAAATGCAGCAAAGTTGATTGGACGGCACTTCACAACACAGATGGACAATGATCCAAAACACACTGCAAAAGCAACCCAGGAGCTTTTGAAGGAAAAAATTTTATTTAGGATTACATTAATTTGTCCAATTACATTTGAGCCCCTGGAAATGGAGGGACTGTGTATAAAAATGGTTGCAGTTCCTAAAGTTGCACTTGATATTTACATTCAACCCCTTGAATTAAAGCTGAAAGTCTGCACTTCAAATTCATTGTTTTGTTTTAATTTATTCTGGTGGCATACAGAGCCAAAAGTATGAAAATTTTGGCCAAATATAAATGGACCCAACTATATACAAAAATATAAATATTTTAAAATGAACAACCCCATGTAAGCAGGTCATTTGTATTGTTATGTTGTACCAAGACTATGGCTCAGAATCATCCTCTCGAGCCTGTCATTTAATTTGTCATTTGGACCACGTCTACTAATTACTGTATTTTTCGCTCCATAAGACGCACTTTTTCCCCCCCCCAAAAAATGGAGGGAAAATGTCAGTGCGTCTTATGGAGCGGCCGGTCCGGTATTTCCACCGTGTCAGAATACCGGGCCGGCCGCTCAGCTCTTCTCTGTAGAAGAACCTTACCTGTTCCTCGGTCCAGCGCTGTTGTCTTACCGTGCCGGCATCTTTAGTGTGGGCACCTGGCTGTGACAGCCAGGTGCCCACTGCGCATGCCTGAGAAGCGCTGCGCCTTGTGAATGGCCCAGCATCTTCTGGGACACGATAGTCCCTGAAGACGCCGGGCCATTCACAAAGCGCAGCACTTCTCAGGCATGCGCAGTGGGCACCTGGCTGTCACAGCCAGGTGCCCACACTAAAGGGAGGACAACTCCGCAGAAGTGGGAGCGGGTACCTGTCAAATTCAGGTACTCGCTCCCCCTTCCTCCCCAAAGGGCCACAATCTCTGGTCATCCCCTGTACTGTGTCCGCAGTCTCTTCTCATCTCCTGTACTATGTCCGCAGTCCATTGGTTCAGAATATTTTTTTTCACCTCTAAAACCTAGGCGCGTCTTATGGAGCAAAAAATACGGTACTTGCAAAGTAAATTGTGTGTTATTGCACCTGTTGAAGCTCAAATAGAAGCATATCAGGGTATTCCAGAAAAAGGGACAGCAGCATAGAGCATTTTAACTTTAATAAAATCAAGGTAGTTGTAGTGCTAGGTAAGCAATGGCAGTTGCATAGAAAGTTTGCCCTGGAGAGCACAATGCAGACAATTTCCCTTTCAGATTAAAGTATTCTGAATGAGGTTTGTGGTGATAACCAGTATTACATAATTATCTAACTAAAACTTTCAATGTGCTCATTGTGGTGGGTTGGAGTAGGCATGGCATGATCCATGGGAACCTGATGGAAAATTCAGTCAAGACAGAAACTGGGTTGTTATGGGCAGGGGATACAGGTGGAGAGGTCACCTGGTAGGGCAGAGATATTTAACTTCCTAGGATATACAGAATGTAGCAATGGAATTGAAAACCTACTTGTAAAGCACACATTCTTGGAACAAAATTCAGCATTGGGTAAAATTAAAACATTGCTATGTTTGAGGCTGCTGGAAACACTGCGTGGGACAAAAAAAATATATGGAGTTATGCTTATCCAGTTGCTCCTGGGGAGATTCTGATTAAAGCAGGTCTCCTGCAGAAGCAGCACTTCACTGTGTCTAGGACCAAGCCCAAATACTACAGGAATGTGTTGGAACAAAGGCCACCTTTTAAATATTCTGTACCCAATTGACCATTTCCAGGTGCTGCAAAATCTGATGGATATTTAAATGTGCAACACCTGCATAGATTTTCCCCCCTCCATTGGCTGTAAATTAAAGTCTGGACAGCCAGAAAGGCCAATGGATATCCTCTCCACCCAAATGAGGGCAAGTGTGAGTTTACTGGGAAGAGAACTTTCCTTCAGACCTAGGAACTTGAGGGTCCAGTTTGTATGAAACTGGGAAGGCTTCTGCTTAGAGGCCAAGGCCTGCCGCTTACAAAAATTCTTGTGACTCCCAAGAGGCAACATTTGCTTCTGATCTGTTGATTTTTGCCCTCAGGGTAAAAAAAAAAAAAAAAAAAAGCTTCAGAACTGCCAAAGTGGCAGGATCCCTTTGGGCTCAATTCTCTGAATGAATCATATGCTTTGCCCAAACAGAACTTGGCAAACTCATTGACCTCTGCCTGTTGCAGAGCTATTCCCAGCATAGGAGGAAAAAAAAAAACATTTTTTTATATACTGTATTTTTCACTCCATAAGATGCACTTTTTTCCCCCCAAAAAAAGGAGGAATGTCAGTGCGTCTTATGGAGCGAATGTAAAGCAGCCGGTCTGGTATTTCTGGCGCCACCATGTCAGAATATCAGGCCGGCCGCTCAGCTCTTCTCTCCTGCAGGACCTTACCTGTTCCTTGCTCCAGCACTGCAGTCTTCCCGCGGCAGCTTCTGTGACAGCTGGGTGCCCACTGCGCATGCGCGAGAAGCACTGCGCTTTGTGAATGGTCCAGCATCTTCTGGGACACATGCCAGGTCCCAGAAGGCTCTGGGCCATTCACAAAGCGCAGCGCTTCTCGTGCATGCACAGTGGGCACCCGGCTGTCACAGAAGCTGCTGTGGGAAGGAAGGACAACTCCGCGGAAGTGGGAACCTTTCAAATTCAGGTACCCATTCCCCTCCCTAAAGGTCCGCAGTCTCCGGTCATCCCCCGTACTGTGTCCGCAGTCTCCGGTCATCCCCCGTACTGTGTCCGCAGTCTCCGGTCATCCCCCGTACTGTGTCCGCAGTCTCCGGTCATCCCCCGTACTGTGTCCGCAGTCTCCCGGTCATTTCCCGTACTGTGTCCGCAGTCTCCGGTCATTTCCCGTACTGTGTCCGCAGTCTCCGGTCATTTCCCGTACTGTGTCCGCAGTCTCCGGTCATTTCCCGTACTGTGTCCGCAGTCTCCGGTCATTTCCCGTACTGTGTCCGCAGTCTCCGGTCATTTCCCGTACTGTGTCCGCAGTCTCCGGTCATTTCCCGTACTGTGTCCGCACTCACTGGTCATTTCCCGTACTGTGTCCGCACTCACTGGTCATTTCCTGTACTGTGTCCGCACTCACTGGTCATTTCCTGTACTGTGTCCGCAGTCCATTGGTTCAGAATATTTTTCTTGTTTTTCTCCTCTAAAACCTAGGCGAGTCTTATGGTCAGGTGCATCTTATGGAGCGAAAAATACAGTAGGTCAGCTAGGAGACCACTACTTTATAGAATTCCTCCATGGGCAATGCTGGGCAAAATGCAATTGAGCTCACTCAGGAAAGGTTCTTCCTTTTAAGTATACATAAAACTTCCTGAGAATGCAGAAAGTATGGGATTCTTGGGCAGCTGCTGGGACCCAAACCTGGTGCCTGAACCCCCTGCTTCTGGAGACAATTTGTTCACCCCATGTCCATCAGGAAGTCCAGTTACCCTTGTGTTTGGGTGGGCTGAGATTACAAACTCCTGATCCCCAATGGCTTCATCCTCCAGGGGGAGAAAGTTTCTTTAACTCCTACCACTCTTCCCTTTTGTGGAAGGATGAAACCCCCTAATTTTGCATCCCAGAAGAAACCTTTGAATATTCATGCAAACTAGGTGGCTGCCAACAAATTTTAGACAAAGGAATTGGAGGAATGTGCCCTAAAAAAAAAAAAATTATATACGAGCAGGAATATTGTACATATGGTGCAGCACTAAAATACTAAACAAACATTACATACAATATTAGTGCAACTAAAAAAAAAAAAAAAAAAAGATCCTTTAGGATCTAAAATAAAGTGCAAAATATAAAGTGCAACATCTGCTCTATTTCCTCCCACGTTATAGGTGAGGTGGGAGGAAATATAGAGACGTTGGTGGAAGTGGCAGAGGAGCCACGCATGATCTTGAGAGCTGTGCAAAGTCTTAGTAAGTTGGACAGTAAGGCCACCTGCCTACCGATCCAGAAAGGGGATTACTCATATGGTATATATGGAACCCTGTGTGTGGAGGTTGGCTATTGAGGAGATCTATATTATACGATCCTGGTGTGATCCAAAAGCGTATTGACCCATAGGGTCACTTAATGGAGGTGAGCAGCCATTTTAAGGATTTGTTTGGAGTGCACACCAAACAGCACCAGTTCTTTAAAAGCAGTGCACCACTGTGTGGAGGATTCCTACAGCACTTTATTGGACTTGGACATTTGCAGCTTTATTGTATGCGATCTTTGGATCTGTCCACAGCATTTATTATAGATTGTCTCACCACACATCGCTTTTGAATATTTTTAGATTTATTGTCATTGTGTATTGTGAATAAGCACTGGTCACTTTATTATCCCATTATTGGGATTCACTTTGTTGGCACAGTTGGTGTGTGTATTCTTATTTTCTGGGATTGGGTTGTTTTTCACTTTATATAGGGTATGACTTTGTGACCCATTGGATTCATTCACCAAGTTGCACTTTATATTTTAGATCCTATAGGATTTTTAGTTGCACTAATATTGTATTTAATATTGTTTATTTAGCATTTTAGTGCTGCACCATATGTACAATATTCATGTTAGTCAATCTTTTGAGGTAAAGGGTTTGGGTGCTAGCAGCTGTGTTAGGGCAGAGTTTTAGTGCAGGAGGAACCACTACACTTTATACCAGAGCAGGGGTTCAGAACCAATTTGAGTTTGGAGACCCATTACATGGTGAAATGGGTTAAACAAGTGGTAGCACACTCCATCTAACCCCTGCCATTGAACCAAGACATGAGGGTCAATAGGCTTATAACCCCAGGATTGGGAGCAGCTTCCCAGCTGAGGGCCAAGCTCAGGCAACCATTATAAAGTCAGAACAATGGTGCCTTTGGGCACAATAATATAGTTTAACATGTCTGCATACATTACAGCCCGTCTGCCCTTTTGACTATGGCTGTGTATTGCCCCACAGCATACATTCCAGGTGCCCCAAAGGGCACAAGGATTACCACACATTGTTCCATGATACAAGTTTGCACTTCTGCTTCATAGCTGCAAGGCAAAAAGGTCCATCTTTACCCTGGCGTGCCCCACAGGGCCTTCAGGTGATCACTGCCCTGGACCTGTATAGCACATTGCCAAAGACACCAAATACCCTGAAAGTGCTGCCTGCAGGATCCAGTGCCAGAAAGACTGCAGTCACGTGTCAGCAAATCACTAGCAAAACAGGTTTAGCTGAGAGTTCTATCTGGACAAGGAAGCCAGCTTTTTTTGGCCAGTGTTTATTCACTGGAAGGTGGGAGCATAAATTACATCACGCATATAATACACCCTGTGTGCTGTGATTTAGGATTACTATTACTGCATGCTGGAGTCAGGTACATTTTTTACAGTCAACTTAAATTTTCAAAATATTTTTATTCAGAACTACTGAACAAAAGTGCAAAACAAGTAATATCAAGACAGGCAGGCACATTTTTTGTAGGTAGGTGAACAGTTTGAAAAAGCACTTTGATTTGTTGGAATGGCAAGCAGGTAAAACATTAGCTGAAAAGCTCAAGTGTCAGGTAAACATAGGTGCATTAACAGAACTGTGAGAAGCCTGACATTTATAAACTTATGCATTCTTGACAAGAGCCACAGCTGAAAAACGCATTTCGTCTTTTGCCTGTTCAGTGTATTGCTTGCAAACATTGACTGCATTCTAAAAAAAACAAAAACAAAAAAGCAGTGTTAATATGGTTACAGTGAGATTTTTGCATTTTATGCCACTTCAGACTTTGCTGATAAGAAACCTATCCTAGTTCAGTAGTGTCATTATGCAGGAAAGTTAGGGTAACCACTGCTGCCAATATGACCACATTTCTGTAAATTTGGAGCTGCAATGATTACCATGTAAAGAAGCTGTTGTATGCAACATTGTCTAAAGTGTTACTAAACCCAGGACCCTGCATTCACTATATTTAGTCTCCCAGTGTACATAGAAATGCAATTAGTAAATATAAACTGCCAGATACCTTGTCAGCAGTTACAGCAGTCCTGCAGCCTCTATCAGTGTCCAGCAGAGCACTGGTTAACCCTTTGAGGACTAAGATTTTGGAACGCCAAAAGAATTTTTGTTTTTAAAGTTCGTACACTTCAGTTGCTGTAACTAAGCCATTTCATGAAATAATTGGCAAAAAGCTAGATCCGTTTGTTAAGAACTAAATTTGACTCAAAAAAAGTTTTAAGTTCTTAATCAGATACACGCAATTAAAAAAACATGGGACAAATATGTCCCTTGGTCCTCAAAGGGTTAACGCTTGGAGGCTGCAGGACCCGACTGTCTGGACAGTGCTCATCACATGCACTAAACAAAAAACCACTAGCAACACCAAACTGAGCATGTGCAGAATGACTCCAATCCTCTGTTCTATCAGGAATTATACGTCAGGGACAGTAGGAGAATCAAAAGAGGATTAATCAGCCATTTGACAGAGCAGGATACCCCCCTTAAGATCCACAGTGAGTATAACAAGCATGCTTTACTGCATTTGGACTGATTTAACTGTTGTGGGTTTAGTAACACTAACAGTAGCAAGTCTAGTCATCCAACTGTAGGTGGTTTACATGCAATGGGGTAGCTGTGTACACAAGTCGTTCAATGCATTCACACATTTTCCATGCTCAGCCTCCCATGTGTGTACCTATGGATCTGTGGCTGCTGCTCCTTTATTTCTAGTTCACATGCATGTACTGCAGTTTACATTTACAAACTCATACTCCCTGCAGTTTCTGTAAGACTAGATTTCTGCATCCTCCCCTTACTATGGCACCAGAGTACTGTATCTTGTGCAATGTAGTGATACAGCACCATGTGAACATGAAGTTGAGTAATGGGCCACAATTTAAACAAGCAATTGTGTTTCCCCATGAAAAGGGGCTTTTCAGTGGGTGATGCAGGATGCAAATTCAGAGGAGATGCTGAAGTGTTATAACTACTTTATTACTAATTTAGTTGCTGGGTGAGCCAATGTTTGTCAAATGGAAAGCATGCCAAGTGCCCACACCATTGACAGCTCTGGCTGTTATCTACATACAGGAAAACAGCAATATAACTAAACCTATAACCAAAAGTGGCCAACAAATAAACACCTGCAGATCAAACTGAAGTATAGCCAAAACTGAGTAGGAAGTGTTAGTACCAGATGTGAGAACAAGTCAGCACACCAAGGGTCTGTCCAGAGCAATTGAGTGTTCAAGTGGCGTTTCTGAACCACTGAAAGGACTCAGGCAAAAAGCACAAGTCTAACGTTTGCCCGATTCAGGCCTTTTAGTGGCTTGCTTATACCAACATTTAGGCTAGGTTCCATGGTGGCTGTCTGGTAGACTGCCTTTCAGAATAGTAAACAGTAGCTGAGGCAATACTGAATGCCTGTTCATGCCAAAGGGCAATTCTGAATGAAAAATATGCCTGCAACTGCAAGCAAAGTACTTGGCTTGTGACTGCAGTATGGTCCAATTGTACTAAATTGGTGGGTCTGACGGAGTGCTGGAGAAGAGCCAGAACACTGGCATACCAATTTGACCCAAGAGCAAGTCATGGTATATTGACAAACTGGTCATATTTTCTCTTTCTAAAGTTGCTAATATACAGAGCAAATAGTAAAGATACACATTTAGAAAAAAAACAAAAAAACCACACTTTATATTTTTCTATAGCAATGTTTACTACAATACCTCCAGGAAAGAGTCAGATAGTGGACCATGGTCAATAGGTCTTTCAAGGTGTCCATCTAGAAGACAAGCGTTCGCATTATAATTTTGGCTATTTTTTTTTACACAAAAAAATGACATACCTGAAAAATTCTACATCTTGTATTACAGTACAGGACTTGGGCTCATGAACTCTGAGTTATAGGTTGGTTACTTCAGGCATTCCATAATCCTACCACACCCAGTGAGTCAGTTTAGCATGCAGTCAGGAGGAAAAAAAAAGTGGCAGGAGTCCTGTTCAAAAAATTTACAGGCCTGTGAATTCCAAATCTCATCTTAAAGTGGTTGTAAAGGCTCAAGTTTTTTTTTACCTTTGTGCATTGTGTACAGCAGTGCCCCCATCCCCCTCAATACATCACGATCCATCAATGTGCACAATAGCCTTGGTTGTCCAGGTCTCTACCTACTCAATGGCTGAGACAGCAAGCGGGAGCCATTGGCTCCCAATGCAGTCAATCACAGCCAGCCAATGAGGAGAGGAGCTAGGCCAAGCCACAGCTCCATGTGTGAATGGACAGAGCAGCGGCTTAGGAACATGCCTGCTTGGGTGCCCCCATAGCAAGCTGCTTGCTATGGGGGGACCCTGATGGAGCCAGGAGTGCTGGCAGTGGACCCAAGAAGAGGATCCAGACTGCACTGTGCAAAACCACTGCACACGCATGTTCATTTACAAATAAACCTTTAGTAGCAAAGCAAACCAAAATGCACCAACAGGCCCAATTATGTACTGCTGCATCTGCAGAATTAGATGTCTACCTGGTAGGACTTTGGGGATGGTCAGTATGAACTGTAAACTAGGTTGCATGATAGTATTTACTGAGCAAAATGCAACACAGGGTAAAGATACTCATATCCAGTGCCTCAGTGTTCTTGAACACTTTGATTGGACCTAGGTATTCAGTTCTCTTGGTGCAATAGGTTGTGTCTGGTAATGTACATGCTCCTCATTTCTTGGAGATGTGTATTTTTCTTGGTCTCCATTTTGTACAGTACAAAGGATTTATACAGCACACAGTAGGATTTATAAACTAGGTGGCTGCCTTACAAAGCCAAGCAACAGAGCCTTTGTGCAAATACCAAATGAACCCCTAAAGATCTGGTACACTGAACATGTATAAGTGAAAGGTGCTTTGTCCTTTAGGATGAAAGCCCTTTTGATTAAGTTTTTATCCACCTAGCAATGGTGGAGGATTGAGGCAGGATGTCCCATGCAAGGTCCTGTGAGCAGGACAAAAGTGAATCAGTCTGATATAAGCTGTAGTTATGAGAGATCAGTGGCTGACCACACCAGTTTGTGAAGAGAAACCTCCTTTGAGTGCTTGGAGCAGAGAAAAAAAAAAAACAAAAAAAAAAAAAAAAAAAAAAAAAAACACACAGACAGTACCATCACTTGGGAAAGGCCGAAAAATCAGGGTCTTTGCACAGGTAAAATGAGAAATGGGACCTTACAAGAGAAGACTGTCCCTCAAGACTTGGTCTTTGGCCAACAGCATGAGTGTTAAAGCCCAAGAAGCAGGATGGAACAGGGGACTCCAGAGCCACAAGTCAGGAGGCATCATCCAGTAGATGTCTGTACCATGTTCTTCAGGGCCATTTGGTGCAAGGAGAATAAATGGTTTCTATTTTGCAGAGTAGTCAAGGCAGCATTTGCATTGGAGGAACTGGGTTCAGGAAGTTTATCATCATTGTCAGTGCTAAGGGATCCTTGGTCCTAACAGAAGGTGACTTGAACAAAGAAACTAGGATATCTACAGTGAAGGAAATAAATATTTGATCCCCTGCTTATTTTGAATGTTTGCCCACTCAAAGAAAAGATCAGTCTAAAAATCAAATTGTAGGTGTATTTTAACACAGAATAGCAAAAAAAGCAAAAATGCATGTCTAACAAATGATGCATGGATTTGCATGTTCATGAGGGAAATAAGTTTTTGATCCCCTATCATTCAGCAGGATTTCTGGCTACCAGGTGTCTTTCATACAGGTAACACGCTGAGATTAGAAGCAGCCTCTTAAAGGGAGTGCTGCTAATCTGTTACCTGTATAAAAAGACACCTGTCCACAGGAGCAAACAATCAGATTCCAAACTCTACACCACAGCAAAAGACCAAAGCTGTCCAAGGATGTCAGGGACAAGATTGTAGACCTAAACAAGGTTGGACTGGGCTACCAAACTATTGCCAAGCAGCTTGGCAAGATGGTGACAGTTGGTGCAATCATTTGCAAATTGAACACAAAACTGCCAGTCTCCCTAGGTCCGGCGCACCATACAAGATCTCACCTCGTGGAGTGAGAATGATCATGAGAACAATGAGGAATCATCCCAGAACTACATGTGAGGATCTTGTCAATGATCTCCAGGCAGCTGGGACCACAGTCACCAAGAAAACAACGGCAACACTACGCCTACAAGGATTGAAATCCTGCAGTGGCCACAAGGTCCCTCTGCTCAAGAAAGCACATGTCAAGGCCTGTCTGCATCAGATGTTCAGTGGCAAACTTCAGAGGACTGGTTGAAAATGTTGTAGTCATACAAGACCAAAATAGAGCTCTTTGGCATCAACTCAACTTGCCATGTTTGGAGGAGGAATGCTGCCTATGACCCCAAGAACACCATCTCAACTGTCAAACAGGTTGGTGGAAACATTCGGCTTTGGGGGTGTTTTTCTGCTAAGGGGACAAGGACAACTGCACTGCATCAAAAGAGACCATAGACGGGGCAATCAAATCTAGGGTGAGAACCTTCTTCCCCTCAGCCAGGGCATTGAAAATGGGTAGTGGATGGGTGTTCCAGCATGACAATGACTCAACACGGCCAAGGCAACAAAGGAGTGGCTCAAGAAGCACAATAAAGTCCTAGAGTGGCATAGCCAGTCTCCAGACCTTAATCAGTTTGGCAACTCAAACTTTCAGCTCCCTCCACAGATTTTCAAATGTCAGCCACCAAACCTTAATGACTTGGAGAGAATTTGCCAAGAGGAGTGGGCCAAAATCCCTACTGAGATGTGTGCAAACCTTGTGGCCAACTACAGGAAACATCTGACCTCTGATTACCAACAAGGGATTTGCCACCAAGTACTAAGTAATGTTTTGTGAAGGGGATCAAATACTTATTTCCCTCATGAACATGCAAATCAGTGCATAATTTGTTAGAATGGCAACAAAAAAAAAAAAATGCAAGAGATGCATGTCAGTGTTACACTACAACTACCATTACATTTTTAGACTGATCATTTCTTTGTGAGTGGGCAAACATTCAAAATCAGTAGATCAAATACTTATTTCCTTCACTGTACATGTCCCCTTACTACACCATATTAGGTTGATGTCAAGGTGAAGAGCCCAATTCTCCTTTATTCCAGGCAGTGAACTGAAGTAATCCACCTTGCAAGCATTTACTCCTAGGATGTGGACACCACTCCTGGGATGACAGCAGATTGCTGGAGAGTGCACAGGCACACATTAGGTGGAAAAGTGGGAAATATGCAGAATGAGCATCTTGGATGTCCACAGCCACTAGGTATTCTCCTTGGCTCATGCCCATCTTGTGCATTCCATATGAAACTGCTTGTCTAGGGATTTTAGGTCCAGGCTAGGAAGAAAACCTGTTGGGTTTTGGTACTGTAACCAGCTATGGAAAGTCCTTTGAACCAGTCCTCTACAGCTACTGAACAGCCACTCTAGAATGGTGGGGAGGAGCTTTGTTCCTGTGACATCTGATTTTGTAAAGAGCCCCAGGAGGTCCTCCTTTAACTAATACCAGGCACTTTCACCCTCTTCCTGCCCAGGCCAATTTTCAGTGCTGTCAATTTAGTTTGAATGACAATTGTGGTCATGTCATGGTGGTATTTGATTTTTCTAAAAAAAACAAAACAAACAAAAAAACTAAAATTTTGCAAATCTCATAATTTTAGGCCAAAATGTTTTCAACTACATTTCTTTGGTAGAAATAACCCTAATCTGTTTAATTTTGTCTGTAGGAAATGGAGTCCAAACTATGGGATGTATATCTGAAAACCAATCAGTCCTGATGGCTGATATCATTTGAAGTCCAAACACCAGGACCATACAAATACACCCTCTTCCCAATTGACTCTAAAAGTAGACAGTCCAAGGTATTTATTAAGAAACATGGTGAGCTCAGGGTGGACAGACAACTCATGGGGCCCCTGGGCAATAGGGGATCATGGGGCCCTTGCCCAAACTCAAAAAAGCCTAAAAAAAAAAAAAAAAAAAGTACCAGGGGCATCTCATGGGGCTCCCTACTGACCCCGGGCCCTTGGGCAGTGCCTGAGTTTCCAAATGGTCAGTCCGCCCCTGGGTGAGTTTTTCAAGTTGTAATAAAAGGTGATCAGGTACACTGATTTATGCAAAACCTTTAATATATTTTACATACTGTGACCAAATACAGTGTTTCCATAGTAACATTGTACTATGGGGATTTTTATTTTGGGCTGTGATTGGCCCTGTCTGGACGATGTGATTACTGACCAGTAACAATAGATTGTGTGAATGAAAGGTATCCAATTGTCATGCGATTGGTCACAGCCATCATTTTGGACCAGCAGTGGGCCGGTACAGTGATTTGTTAGCCTATAGACAAATGACTTATCACCAGACACAGCCGAGAGAACTGGTTATAGGCCTTCATGCAAGGCAACTTACAGGCAGCTTTAGCCACAAGATGAGCACAAGGACAGAAATCAGAACCATTCTGGAGATTTGTGTAATGCCTTGTTCTACAGCAAAGAGGGCAAAAACAGTAACATCCCTAGAATTCAGCCAACACAGGGCTCCGAAATGCAGGATCCTGTTAGTTCATGGTCCTAGTCCAGTGGTAGGCAACCTTAAAGAGGTGGAGATCTACCTCAATATGGGAGAAGTCAAAGATCACTGGGCACAGAGTCTACTCCTCACACCCAATTCAAACCTCCAATTGCTTTACTACCATGTTGCAAATGCGTGCATTGCATGGCAATCATGGGTTTAAATCAGATGGTGAAGCAACATATCACCTCATCATTTGTCTTACTCAGATTGCTTTTCAGAGGAGCAACAGTGTCTGCTGCACTTGTGAATGAGCCCTTAGTTGCATTTGTTAGTGGCTCCCTTAGGGCTTGATCACATACAATTGGGGGTTATAAAACCCTGTGGTTGAGTTGTGGGTTTATTGCCCCCAATCCCTACCCCCTTAGTTGCTGATGCAGCCACCAAAGTTGTACACATGCCACAGCAGGAATTAAACCCTGTTGCCTTTGGTGGGTGCTACTAGCTTTAATTTGCTACCAATTCAAGTAAAGGGGGTTATTCTGCAAGCACCTGGTAGCTGTATGCTTCAAGAGGTTAGAGCAGTTGGTGAGAAAAAATGCTGCCTGCTTCAACCCCTTGTTTGATGTACAAGGTTGCAGGGCACTTTCAGAGGACCTCATTGTAGCACTTGCCAAGGATGACCCATTCCAGTCACCCACCAACCATGACAGGGCTGCTGTGGCGACATGTACACCCTTGGCCACTGCAGCTAAAGGGGGTGCAGTTTGGGCAGGAATGATAACACTTAACTATGGGGTTTTACCATTCCCCAAACTGCAAATGTAAATTAGCCTGTACTGTTTTGAGTCCCTACAAGGCTGCTTTCACACTGATCTGCGGTGCCATAGATAGCTATTAAATCCTGCAGGTGTGGTGTACGCTGAACACTTCTGCATCCAACAAGTAGGCCATCAAATGAAGATTGCTAGTATTTCTAGGCATGAAGAAACAGCACTGGTGCTTTGTGAAATTCCCATACAGTGCTTTAGAACATGTTAGGTGTAAACAAAGGATATTCCAACAGAAAAACTAGTACAGTTTCAATGCAATATGGGACAAAGATTAAATAAGGAGAGAACCCCAAATATGCACAAGAATGTGTCTACCAGCTGATTAAAGAGCAGCTATATAATGCACACTTATCTAATATTTTTCCCACACTGAAGATCTAAATGGTTTTGATTCAGTTCAAGTCAGATACAAATACTGCCTCTAAAATGTAGGGAGCCAACTGCCTGGCACCTTCACATGTGCACGTTCAGCTACACTTTTTGAATGTACCTGCAGCCTTCTAGGAGGTAGGGACCAATGTCTGCTCAGATCACCTAGCAATCTGAGCAGAAGTGGGTACCTGTCAAAGCTATAATTCAGTCAAACTCTACTTACCAAGCTCAGTTAGGTGTCTATTTGCAGGAACCAGCACTATTACATTGCAGTGGTCACCACCATCTGGCTGTAGAAACATTAACATTTTAGTTAGTGAGTAGTATTCAAAGCTTTGAACAGAGGCAAACAAGCAGTTCTGCCAGTGTAAATGTTACATGACATTTATCAAGGGATCATGCCAGTTTATACAAGTGATCAGATACAAGCATCAGAAAGCTGCATCTACCTATTCTCTGCAAGTAAAGGTTTTAGAGTCAGTGGGAGTCATTTTTATTTACTGCTGGGAAGACATGCATTTCGTGATTAATGGCCATAAAAAAAAAAACAAAAAAAACTTGTAGGTAAATCAAAGTAATGACTCTTGCACAAGTACATTTTGATATCTGGTGCTTGGCAAGTGACCTATAACAGCAAACAATGTAGCAGCAGTGACTACAGCAGTTTCCACAGACATTGGATGTGTATATACAGTCCTGGCCTGCTGCAGGCTTAGAACCCCCTTTACACAGGACAATGGGTGCAAGTGTCTAGTCATCACTGACTATCCATAAAAAGGTCCACTGCTAAACACAAGCAAAGTCTCTCAAATAAAAGCGCATGTACATTTATGTATTCCTAGCACAAGCTGGACCACCTGTCCTGCAGGTCTAAGGCCCCTTTCACAAAGTCAGATCATAGCTGCCTGGCAGTGTCAGGTGGACTAGATTGAACCCTCCATTCAACCCTAGATACTGGAGGGTGTAAAAACAGACTCATGTCTTATGAGTGCCTCCCATCAATCTAGCCTGCCAGCAGAATGGGATCTGTCCCCCTCCAACTAAGCAGATTGGAGGGGAGTCAGGTGTAAACAGATAGTGGAGTCCATTTACTCCCAGCTGCCCATAAAGCATGTCTAACAGCTCTGATGAAACTGAAACCTCTCATTTGCCCTCTGCTCAGTGTATCCACTGACCAAATTGTAGTCTGCCTTGTGTGAAAGGTCCAACATGTTTCACTCCATCAAGAGATTCTACGACTAAGCTGTGGATGGAGTGAAGGGCCTGTGGGACTGGCTTGTGCTTTGAATACTTCAATGTATGCCAGGTTTCCTTGTGTTTTGAATTGAAGATACCTACTTACATTAGTGTTCAAGCTAAATCAATTACATTAATTCAGCTTTAGCTATAAATCAAACAGCATAGATTATATCATGACTAGGTCCATATTCAATTATATATATATTGACCACTTACCCTGACAAAGCCCTCAGCTGCAACAGACTTGTAATCTGACAACAAGGCCTAGAATACAAGAGAGAACTGAATTTACAGGTGTTTATGCACTCACTAATAGGCAGCATTGAGCACATGGAAAGCCAGGATAGGTGACTGCAAAAATACTGCAGACTTGCCTCATTTTTCTCCAGCAGCTTTCCCCTTTCTTCAGGTGAGGCAGCAGCAGATTTATCAATAAAGTTCTTCAGTGAAGACTTGTTAGCTACAATGAGAAGTTTCAGATGCCCAGTCAGTGGAATTAGTGACATACAAATTCAGTCAAAATTAAAGCATGTACTAGGGTGGATAAGACCATTGCCACCCTCATTACAGCAGCAAAGACAGGAGGAGCAGCACCTGGAGTGATCAGTGTGCAGCTGCTTTTACAAGCCTTAAGCTGGCCATACACATGTAGATTTTCATTTCAAGAATAGGTTGGATTTTCTAGTCAGTGGGGTCAAATTGATGTTTTTGACAGCAGTGACAGGAAAATTTGAAGGGGCTGGAAGGAAAACTTCTCAAAGAATTTTTCACCCAGTATGTGGTGCTCTTTCAGAAACATTTTAAAGTCAAATGCAAAAGAAAAAATTTTCAAACATTCATCCATTCACCAAATGGACAAATACTTTTTTGTATGACTTTACAAATTCTCGTCCGAAAATCTACATGTGTATGGCCAACTTTAGATAACACCCCTTGCAGTTTTGGTGGAGGAGATATCCTATGTGGCTTTGCAAGCCCCAGGACTGGTTCAGACACCAGGTATACTGCCAGTACACGTACATATGAAATGTTCACCATAAGCTGAAAAGAGTACCTTAAGTTTGATAAACTGACTTAAGCTAGGCAATTGTGTATTGAAAAGAAAAACAGATCCCTAAATGGTGACCAAGTTTGACCTCATCTTCAGGAGGAAAAAATATAAAAAAAATTTCATGGTGCCAACACCTTCTCAGAACAAAGACAACTCTTTAAAAAACCAACTTAAAATGACTTACTATTTTTTTTTTTTTTAGGGGAAATGTTTTTACCCCATTCAATTTTAAGACCAAGAAGGGGGGAGAATTGTCATTAACATCACAACCAATAGAATACACAAGGGGGATAGATATACCCCTGACTCCCTTACCCTTATAAGATGGGATTTGGTCCCAGATATGCTGCATTAGCCCTGGTCTTGTGAAGGTGGAATAGACTTGGCATAGTGTTGGATAATAGCTACTTTAGAAATATCAGGGTGTGCCGTTTTCCCCTCTTCCTTCCTGTGTACAGACTTGAGCCATGGGCTGGTTCCTGAACATACTCTCCATTGGGGTACCATCTCCTGCCCTTTGCACCTACTGACAGGTTTGAGGTGTACTACTGAATTTAATCCCCATTTCCATCTATGTGTATAGAAATGTATGCATTAGGTTTGCTATATCTGCAAATGTATAAGGTTACATTATACTATATGGAATTTGTGTCTTTAGCAGCTACTTACCACACCTTGAACCCCTGAAAAAGCCAGTGTGAAATGAGTCAATACTTTGAACACCCTCCTACAGATCAAAATACTGTAATTTACTGTACTTGCATCACTATATAAAAACGTTAACTCAAGAGGGGTAGTACATTCTGGGGCTGTGGTGCTAATGAAAAATATGAGGGTTTGATTTTAGTCCTTAGCCCTATTTTTAGGAGGAATATTTTACCCCATTCAATTTTGACTAATTTTGTAATAAGTTTTTTTTTTTTTTAAGTGTTGTCTGTTCATGAACATCCCAATCTTTTCTTGTTTCTTTTACTGGTTTTTCATGCACAGGGATGAGGTGGTTGAATTTACCAATGGACTCGTTTTCTATAAAAACTTCTGTTCATGCAGTCAAACCATTTAATGTCCAAGCCATAAAACCCAGGGGTGTGGAAGTTTAAAAACCTACTTGTCAAAAGAATAAGTAGTCCAATCATTTTAAACTGAAAACTGTATTAAAATCTGAGGTGCTTTAGGAATGTCTGGGCAATTATGGTGACTTAAACAATGTTTAACCACTTTCCCTCCAGAGGATTTACCCCCTTCCTGACCAGGCCATTTTTTGCATTACGGTGCTGCATTACTGCACCGCAATGAGATTTTAAGTCCTCTCCGCCCCCCTCCCTCAAATAGAGCACTTTTGGTGGTTTTTGATTGCCTGTGTGTTAATTTTTTTTGCACAAAAAAAAAAAAAAAAATCATTTAGGCCAAAATGTATTCTGCTACATGTTTTGCTTAAAACAAAAAAATGTGTAAATTGGTTTATGTGAACGTTTTAGCATTTATAAATGGCATTATATATACACTGGGATCTTTTATTTTTTTACTAGTAATGGCAGCAATCAGTGACTTACAGCAGGCCTTCTGACATGGGAGGACTGACTATCACTGACACCAATACAGTGATCAGTGCTAATAAAAAGCACTGACTAATAGCACTGGGGAGGAAGGGGGTTAACATGGGGTGACTAAAGGGTTAACTGCTTTAGTGTGGGGCTGTGTTTGTGCTTAACAGTAAGCAGCCATGCAAAGCAGTGTGCAGGAGCTGACAGGAGAGAATGGCTGGGGAGTAATCACTGATCAGGATCCAGTGATTGTACCGCTGTCATTTTTTTGGCTACAGCGGTCAGGGAGAAGTTCCCCATACTAGTTGTCACATGGGGCTTGGATTGCCACCCAAGTAAGGCCTGCTGCTTGCAGCAGGGTTAAATGTCAAAAACTACCTTCCCAGAACTGCATGTCCTGGGTGTTGGGTGATTAATAATTTGATTTGAGGATAATAGGTTTGCAGGATGCACAATTCTTAAGTCATCAAGCAATGAAATACAGGACTCTCAGAAGTCATGCCTCTATGCTTGTTATTGGTACAATGGATTCAAAGAGGGTTAAACGGGGTACACAAAAAAAAAAAAAAAGTTTGTTTTTCTACAAAAAAAGAAACTGACAATGGTGTTAACTTGTATGAAAGTTTGACAAAGGCAATCATCTTGTTTAAGATTTGTGTTGCTACCCTCTTCCAGGTTGTCCTTTGCATCTGATCATGCACATTTTTTCTATTTGGTTTCCATAGGATTACTGTACACATGTAGCAAAAACCAGTCATTGTGTTAATGTACAACAGTGGTCTAACTGCAGCCCTTTGCTTGCCTTTATCTGGCCATTGGCACACTATCTCTGACAATAAGGAATTATTCCTTCCACTCACAATACAACACTCTGAAGAGTCTGGCTGAAAGGATATGCTATATAAGAAATAGGAAAACCATTCTGGATTAGAGTGGAGGAGATTGGAGGTGGAGCAATTAAGAAATTCTACCTACATGAATTAAAAATGGAAAGATGCTGTTTGACCTAAACATTTATAGGTCCAAATAAGGTGAGTGCATGCGTGTTGGTGGAGGAGAAACCAGGGTGATTCTGTACATGGAAGGCACACGGATGAATATATACTCATATGGGACTTGTCACAAGATGAACACATTGTTTATGCAACACTGATACAGGGTGGACTGACCATTTGAGCACTGCCCGAGGGCCAGTAGGGAGCCCCATCAAATGTCCCTGGTACTTTTTGAGTGTGGGGAAGGACACAGGGGCCCCATGATCCCCTATTGCCTGGAGGCCCCATGAGTTGTCAGTCCGCCCCTGCACTGGTATTTATATGCACTTTTCACTGTTATATGGGAAATTGCACAGGCACTATGAGGATTGCACATGTTATAAACTGCATATTTTGTATTGCATGGCACTGGTCTAAGTATTATCTGCATATGTGTGGGAACACATTTAGTGTCAGCAGTATTACGTTGGAGGTGGGAATTTACATGATTGCGCTGAAGTAATTTTGAAGTTTTCATGTAATATTCTCACTTCAACTGACCACTAGGCATGAGGCATTATCCAATTCCAGTGGCCACAGCCTGGCCCCCTGAAGTCCAAAGGACTGTAAACTGGCCTTTTGTTTAGAAAGTGGAGACCTGAGATACATTTTTTTTAGCTTGCACCTTTGTTTTTCATCTGAACAAAGAATCTACTTCTGATCATAAAAAACTAATAGTTTTTTTTTACAGAATTTTACAATTTGTGTACCCAGCTTTATTACAGCTGGCCAACTAGCATGTGAAGGCAGACTCCTAGTTCAAGGCTGGGCATTGTTTGTGTATGTAACATTCACAAATGCATGGGTAATCTAGTTGTACCTGAACAGCATAGCATGCCCATCTCCTTATTTGACAGGGTATACATATCTGAATTACTCTTCAGATTATGAATATATTTTTAAACATTCCTGCTTTTGGTTTGTTTCATATAAAAAAAAGCAGCCTGTATATAATTCAAGTTAAGAAACCTTAAACTGTTCATATTTAACCATTTTTGTAAGTGAAAACTTTGTGCTGGCTAGAATGTAGAAGCAGTAGAACCTCTGGGATTTTACCATTATTCAGGGTGCAGTTAAGAAATGCTCACTTGTTCTGGGAAAGCTTACCCTGGAAAGGAAGGGAAAAAAAATGACCAGGAAAAGTCAACAGGGGTTCCAATACTTCCAACTGAAAGTTTGTCCTGGACAGTGAAGGGAAAACTGGATAACCAAAACCTGAAAAGGGTTCCAATACTCTACCCAGCCTAGAAGTGGTCTTTAGATACACCCCTAATCCATCCCAATTAATTTATCCCCTTCTATTAGAAAATTTAGGAGCCGTTTGTTACAAGAAATTAAAATAAAATTTGCAATGCTGTGTACCAAAACAGGACTTCTGGCAGGAGAGACATTTGAGTCATTTGAAAGGAAAAACATGATATACAAGTATGGCAGACATTTACCAAGTTGATTTGTTTTGCTGGGGAGAATTTCACTCCCAACTGCTGCTCTATTCAGCTTCTAGAGAGAGTAACCCCTGTAAGCTCTAAATGCTGTAGTTCACTTACATGAAAGATGGCAAACATGACTGACATTGTCAGGTCAGTAATAAAGTAATGAGTGCAAGTCACATTCTCTTCTGTACTCTGACCAGGTATTTTCTATTTAGAGACTGAAGAACGGCAGCAGAACAAAGATGGCAAGCATGCGCTGCTACAGTGGGCATTACAAAGTAGTCTTTAACTAGTTATACTTACCTAGGTGGATGCAGAATTAATCTGATGCTGCATCTGTTCTCTGCTGGTCCCCCCCCTCCCCCCAGTGTGGAGGGGCAGTAGCTGGCTCAGGTTTGGATGGCTGACAGGCTATGGTAGGTGCCAGTGCACACATCTGGGTGGATCCCAAAGTCAGGATCTTTCCCCGGCCTGGACCAGCTGAGCGATGTCAGCTGACAGAACACTTTAGCATGCTGTCAGCTGAAAATTGGTCACAGTTCATGTTTGCATTCCTGTGATCCACAGGTGAAATCCATCCAAACAAGCTTTGTCTGTACTTTAAAAGAAAGCCAGGTGCTTTAGTAGGAGTAATAACTCTTACAAACCACAAAAGGAATGTAAAGGAAGACCTCTTGAATATGCAAACCTCATTGAAAAACTGCCAATTCAGTTTACAATAAAATTAAAGGCAAACAGGTGTATACATGAAGTGTAACTGATCACATGACCTCTGTTCTCTGCTGCATAAGAGCTGGGGGGAGAAATAGCAGAACACTGATCTTCCCATTGAATGTAGTAGGTGGTTATGTCAGGACAAGTCTGATCATTGGAGCGTTGCCAGCACAGCTAGAGAACTGACAACTGTTCTGCTTAGTGTGGTAAGTTTAACAGGAAAGCAGAGGGACTGTTAGGAACACCAGTGATTTCACACAAAGTAATACAAACAGGATACTTTCATACAAGTACATATTACAGCAGGCACATGAGGAATTAAATTGTTCTTATATATTCTTTAGCCCCTTGCCCACTGGGCACTTACCCCCTTCCTACCCTGGCCAATTTTCAGAGCTGTTGCATGACCACAAGTGTCAAAGTGCAACTGTACCTAAACAATTTACTTTTAGACAGCTCTTTTGGTGGCATTTAATCACCAATGGGTTTTTTATTTTTTGCTAAACAAACTTACTACATTTTATAACTTTTCAAAATGTTCAATTCGTATTTTTCTCCTGCACTGATGGGCATTGACAGGCATCATTTGATGGCACCACTGAGGCACTGCTGCATGACCCTGGAGGCGTGCATGCACAGAGGATGTCATACGACATCCTCCCAAAATGAGTGAACTGCTGCTTGTCCATCATTTCCTTATATAGCAGGTGGGAGGTTGTTAAAGTGTCCCAAAACTTTAGCAGGCCAAAATTGTACATTAAAATATTTGCAGACCAAAAGGTTGAATGAATGGGTTTACTTGGAGGGTTTTCATAATCTGCTTGATGTAATAAAGGACAGAACGCCATTAAAAACAAAGAAATTTTAAATAAGTTGAGCCATTAACAAAGGTTAAACAAAGTTAGGCTGCACCTTCTTCAGCCTGCCTTTACATCAGTTATTCCTTATATCAGAGTCTCCAGATTGTGCATGGCTGAAGCAGGCACCAAAGCATTGTTGTAGCTGCAGGGTGGGAGCCAGAGCAGGTCTGGATAGAGAAGTTGTGATTGCTAGTAAGGGGAGGGTAGAAGCAGACCTGCTAATCTAAAATGAGACCTGCGAGTACACTAAAGCTGCCACTGATGAAGCAATTTACATTCATCAAAGTATGGGTTTCAGAACTAACTTGATGGGGAATCCCTCCTGCCGAACCATTGTGTTCTCCCAGCAGGTAAGCAGTCCCTGGCTGCAGAACAGCGATTACTGCTAGCGGCTTTAATAGCCACTTGCAATAATCACATGTAAAGTCTGACAGGCTGGTTGAACCCAAGTTCATCAATCAACTTGGGTACAACCAGCCTGCCCATACATTGTTCGAATCTTGGCCAGTCCTTGCTGAACCGGCTGAGATTCAGACAGACCTATGGCCAGCTTTAGGCTACACCGACTCGCTGTTGGATGGATAAAATCTCAGTGGGACAGATTTGGCCCATGGGCTGTAGCTTATGACACCTGAATTAGTGATCTGAAAATACAGAACAATTTCACATATCGCAAGTAAAGTTTCAGCATGTGTCAAACATTTGCAAAAAACTAAGATCTGCAAACTCACCAAAACTCACAAAATCCTTGTTGTTAGCTATAGAGTGAATCAAAGCAACAAGTCCACTGGAGTTTTCAAGTGTCTGCTTCAAGTAATACACTTCAGAGTTCAGCTCTTTACCCTTCTGTTCTTCAGCTTTTTTATTTCGGAATTCTTCAAGCTGCAAACACATGTGAACTCATTAGAACTTTGGTTAAAGCACAAAATGCTAGAATGATTCAGACAAGCATAATGAATGTCAATGTACTTCCATATAAATTTATCCAGCATATATCAGTAGTGTTAACCCCAACCACATTTTATGGCAGTTTAGCAAAAACAAATGTTGCTAGGTTCAGAATACTGTGATGCAACCTGATGTCATTTACAGTGAAATAGTAGTGCAGGAACCTCCTGAAATCACACTGCAAAGAGCCACACCAATTAGTACAAGCACCATTGAAAATACAGGTGTACCTTGGCTTACAAATTCAATGTGTTCTCTGGGACATTTTGTATAACAAAAAAGTCAAACCAAAACATGGTTTACCATAGGAATGCATTGAAAACCAATTAATCCATTCCGGAGGTCAGAAAAAAATAAAATTAAGAAAATCTCACTATAGTCAGTGCCAGTTTTTTAAATGTAATTACTGGCTCTGTCTTCACTATAGCTCAGAGAATCAGCTGTCACCTCCCCCCCAGCTAAGAGAGTTTAGTTTATTTCCATAGTTAAATGGAACTTTGTTTGCTTCTGGAGATAAAGAAAGAAACAAAGTATCCTTTAGCTCTGGGAAAAGTGACAGCCAATTCTGTGAGGTATAGTGAAGAAAAAAAAAAAAACCCGGCACACTTTGTATTGTTAAAAAAAAAAAAAAAAAAAACAACAACAACTTGTAAACCAAGGCATTTTCATTGCTAAACAGAAAATTATGTTAACTGAGGTACAGCTGTAAGGCGATTTCCCCTGTAACTCAAGTTGCATCAGAAATTATACCACTGAACACCAAGGCAGTGCTTCTCTTGTGTCATGTTCCTTACTGCCAGCAGGACATGGGAAAGTATGGCAATGGGGGCACCAGGTTAAAGAAAAACAAAAACACACAAGTCTGCTTTAAGTGACCCATCACTATGGGTCGCCTGGTAAAGATGCAATGTATAATAGCGTACCTGCCTGTGTAGTTGTAGAAGGTGCAGTTCCCCATGCACAGCTTAGTTCACATTCCAGCAGTGATTGGATGGTCTTTACTCCTGTGCATGCAAATGTTGTCCAGCAATGAAACTGACAAGATGCTGGTGAGGTGGGGGCCTCTGACTACACAAGCAAAAGGTATTGCAAACAGTTCTGATAAGACCTGACAGGTTGGGTATTTACTTGGTGCAACCTTATTAAACTATATTGTGTTTCCCAAGATAACATGCATGTTTAAAGTTTGGCACTTAAAAATGTTGAACTGTTACGATACAGTGCCAACAAATTAGAACTCCCACCATTTTATTCCCCAGGGCCTGTTTTTAGATTATATACAATGCTGGGGGGGTTAAGGTAATCTTTGGTCTACATTTTTTTTTTGTTAAATGAGTACAAAAAGACAACAGCCCTGACAGAATAAAGTTAAGGGATCTACAAATGCCTCATCTGCCAGAAAATTACTTTGCTCAATGTCAAATTTTGGGATAGTGCATATTTTGAAGACCGAGTCCCAGCTCTGCGTAATGTCTTTCCAAACTTCTCAAATATTCCCCTATACCATTCAAACTAATTCTGTAGCCCAAGATTACTCCTTAAAGTGTGTCCTTTGCTGAGAAAACATCCCTCCTGGAGAATCCTGGGATGTATGACATTTGCCTAGGCCTGAAAACCAGGAACTGAAGAAATGTAAAGTTTAACACTTTCCTATTTATTCATTAAGGCTAGTGGCATAAGTATTACAAAGGCTTCATGTGGAGTTCTGCTTTAAAGGATAAGTTAATCTCTTGGATAAAAGTAATAAACGCAGGTAAAAAGTACATTTATTTGTCCAAAGGCGCCTGTAACGCATTGCGCCAATGATCAGTAGATTCTGATGCCATGCAGGTCTCCTGCACACCTGTCAGAATATCTGTCAATGGTATGGGATGTACGGCCATGCAGATAGTCTGACAGAAGCTTGAAAACTACAAGCCACCAAGGCTGCCGAGACTTTTAGAACTCTGAAAGACATGGCCATGTGGGCAGAGCCCTGCACAGACACTGCTAAAATCTGATCGTACGGGGAAACTTCTCCCTCTACTGTCAGAGGGAGGATGCTTTAGGCACTGCTGCAGCTATGGGAACACAACTGGTGAACTTATCCTTTAAGGTCTCATGCACACAGGACATCTAGCATTTAGCTGTGTTAAGCGTTTTCTGCCAAAACACTTTTACTCCTGGATACACTGGCTCTGGGTTTTCTCCTGCTGGTAAATGCTACTAAAAGTCTGTGCATGGACACATAGGATAACATGGAGGGCTGTTTGGAAGCACAACCCACCCGACACCCCTAAAAGTGGCTGCAGAAACACCCTGTGTGCATGAACCCTTGGTGTGTGCAGTACAGCTGAAATTTAGATATGACCTACATGTATTTTTTGCATTTACCAGATACAATTTTAAAAAGTAGTATGTTTAAAGCAAAACACACCAAAGTGAAGTTCTGGTTCATTCTCCTTTCAGCATGTAACCAATTAACAGGTTTGGGGGAGGGGGTGGCAAAAGTACTCCCACCTCTGCAATCTTCACCTAGACAAGTCTCAGGAGGGGCAGGGCAAGAGGTGACAAAACCCAGCAGGCTGGAGGGCAATTCAAAGTGCTGTGAGCTTTCACATGCAGTGGGAAGCTGGCTGTGGTTCCTCAGGAAGTCACAGCTGACTCCCATATCCAAGATGACAGAGGCAACCTGCAGCAGTAAGTAGCTGCAGAAAACACTGAACCTCACACTGGAAGTACCAGATTTTAAAAGCCAGCAGCTACAAAAATGTGTACTGACAAAAAACAACCAGATGTTCCTCTTTAATGGACTAAGGTGGCAGAGGTTGCACACTTAAGTAGTATTAAATCCAAAAGTAATATTGCAGCTTGCAAATTGTCAGAGGTGGTGTCTGCATTAGTTTAGGTCTTTCCCCTTCAGTTTTCACCTAGTGATCTGGCCAGTAACCTGTTTTTAGAGTGCCCCCAGTCTGGATGAAAATAAAGGCACTTTTGGAAAGCAGCATTGTCACTTGGGAAGGTGGGGCATTAAACCCAAAAATATGTAATCTATTGCAGCTTACTAATTAGATGTGGTGGCTGTGTTAGTTCTATTAAGCTTGCTTCCCTCTGTTTTCACCTGTGATCTGGCCACTAACCTCCTGTATTAGTGTTTCCCCACTCTGGATGCAGGAGCACAGAGCATAAAAGACAGCAGCATTGTCAGCTGGGGGGAGAAGAGTACAAGATGTACTAGCAGATTTAGATACACTAACAATTTGAAGCCAAACTCCAGCTCACACTGCAGTTACAGCAACAAATTATTTTGGGATAAAGATTGATCACTGTCAGCACCCCTGCCAGTGGTAAATTGTTGGTCTCAGCCCTCTGCTACATATGCAGGAGAGCTTGTTCTGTTAAGACTTACTGAACAGACCAGGCTGAAAAGGAAAAAACCATATGCAACCATCACATCTAACTGTTAAAGTTAGAACATGGAATTCCAGTCAAGTTCCAAGGCCAAGTCTACTCCCACCCCCATTCTAAGAACATAGCTAAACTGTAAGCAATGCTATGGATACACGCCTATTCTGAAGCCACTTGGTCAGGTCCCAGTACTGGCTTCTGTGTGGAGGGGGTTTCAGTGTAGAGGGAGGCAATGGCTGTAGAGCCTGGGTGATGTCACTCAGGCACTGGAAGCAGTCTTGCGATTGGGCTCCAGTAGTTTCAGGATAGGCATATATGCATCTTTCACAGATTAGATAGAACAGTCTTAGAGCCAGTCCTGCAAGCTGCATTTTTGCTGCAGTAAACTGCACCTCCTTTGAAATGAATGGAACACAATGTACCCATGGTTGTCTTTGGTGCATTTTGAGTCTCATGGCCTTTCACAGGTGCAACACTGGAAAGGCTGCAAAAAAAAAAAAAAAAAAAAAGCATATGCATTTTTGCAAAGCAGTGTAAAAGTAGCCTTAGAATTTACAATGAGGAAAGACCACTCCAGGAGAGTGCATGAACATGACTCCTCCAGTGATTTGTGCTGGCCTGATCAGTGATCATGAACCGAAAGCAAGTTGGCTGCACTTCAATGTTGCACATCATTTACTGGAACCTTCAAAGAAAATGCAATACAAACATGACAGCTCCCACAGTCAATCATGGGAGCTGTCCTCTTTGTATTGCATTCTCTGAAGATTCCAAAAAATTCTTTATCTGCAACATTGTTGGAAGTGCAGCCAACCTACTCATGCCCTTTCAAGCCTTAGAATTTAACATGGAATTACATTTTAGGCTGCAATAGGTTAACTTTTGGGTTCAATACCACTTTAAACATGGACTATGGGGAAAGGCAAGTATACAGCATTTTCTCAATATCCAAGTCTGAAAAGCTTGACTGGGGTGAAACCATTTATTACACAATGAAAACACATTTATGCTACAGTGCTTTAGCAAACTAAATTACATTGTCTATATACTTGATTTTTGTAAATAGATTCAAAAATTAATGAATATGCTCTCTACCTGGATAAGAAGCTGCAAACTTCAGCAAAAAAGTTAAGGTGATGTACTGAATTATGCACCACACCACCCCCTACCAATGCCAGAATGGACAGCTGCAGAAGAAGCCACTACCAGCCTGATCTAGAAAAGAGCCCTTATGCTGTGACCAAAGTTAGCATTAAACTGAATTAGGCAGAATAAGTTAGTGGCTCTAAAGGTCAGAGTTTTTACCTTCATGCATTCTACACATGAAGGTAAAACAAACATGTAGCAGACCCCCAACACTTACCCGAGCCCTCTAGATCCAGCAAAGTTTACAAGAGCCTTAGTTCTCTGGAGACTCACTCCCGATTGGCTGCCTTCACAGTCCCAAGCCATAGCTCTGACCACAAATGCAGAGCTGCAGCTCTGGTGCCTCTATAGCAAGCTGTTTGCTATGGGGCAACTGACAGGAATGCAGGAGGGGGACCCTAGAAGATCTGGGTTGCTCTGCAAAAACCACTGCACAGAGCAGGCAAGTATCACTTGAAAAACACAACTTCACTTTAAAACTAGCAAGTGTGCTATTCCACCTTCAGCCAGATTTGGACCCAGTTCATACATGTGCAGAGATGCAAGGGCACAAAGAAAATAACTTTTCTAGCTGCCCTGCTCAAACTACAAACACTGGTATGATTTCTGTGACATTACCAATTTCTGTGCAGAAAAGAACTCATGTTGACAGCAGTGTTGTGTCAGCAAGGCACATTTGTGTCCTTAGACTTAAATGTGCATTTGGGGTGAATGCTATGCAGATCAAATTTGCAAGTTTTTATACACTTGGTGTGAACAAGGCCATAGGCTTCTATAACCAAGAAAAGGCATACAAGGTGTCAGTACACAAATACTAGTTTGACTCAGGGAAACAACTTTCTGATCATATCCCGCAGGTCAAAGCATGGCTTTTTTGCAGCCATCCTAAAGGTGGTTACCAATGATTTATGACCCACAAATGTGTTCAACCAGAACAAAATGAATTGTGACTGAACTACTGCAAAGCCATAGCCCTACCTTTGGTGTTTGTGGGAAGGTAAGCACTAGGGCAGACACCGGTTTGGAAAAGGTTTTTAGGTAGTCCGCTTCAAAACCCAACATATCCACATATTTACAGCTGGAAACCCCGAACTTGTCCAGCAGCTGCAAAGAAAAATCTGTTAGGAGTGATGACAACCAGCCCCAGTTTGACTAATGTACAGTCACCAAATGGGTTCAATTATGTCTACAGATCAGAAAGATTCAACTTAATACAGTGAAGTCATTGTGGTTTGCAAGGGAAGGGCCACTGCAGTGTAACTTTAGCTTAGTCACCATCCATAGGAGGCGCACAAGCTATGGTCAGTTTGCAGCTACCTCAGTCATGCAGCCACAAGACTAAAAGCATTTCCACTTTTGCACATTTGATAACCCCCTTCCTGTGTTCCCATTTACACAGCATACCAAATTGACCAAGATTAAATATTTCCTACATTCCTAGTTTTAGAGCAAGTTTACAATAGGATTCTAATATGATTCTATAGGCACTTTGTCTTGTTCAGACTTAGAACAGTGAGTTTATAAGTGCATTAACTTACATGGAATCAAAGCCTTCAGAAACCAAAGCACTTGCTGTTACGCTAGGTGTGCAAACTGTCCCATCTACCAGGACAGTACAGAACATTAATGCTTATTAACATTATGCTATGTGAATGTAACACGTGTCCTAAAATTTTAGGTGCAAGTTCCACTTTCCAGGTGAATTATGTTTTTGTGCCATCAGTACACAGAATGCAACACCCCATTAAGACCCAAACTATTATTTGTACTGGTAGTCAAAACAAAAGTGTCTACACTTCAAAAATCTGACAAGTCTACAATTCTAGTATCAGTCTATTCTAGCATGTCTATTTTAATCACCAACTGTCCTAGACTTCAAGGATTGGCATAGGCTTTGAGCCAACAGAATTCTACCCTTTGCATTGTATACCAGCCACACCACCTACTTAACCTGGAATTACTTTATACATAATGTACCCTTAGCTACTTGGCCAACATTTCCCTTCCCCAGTAGCTGCAACCTTTTCTTGGAAATTTCAGCAACTACTAAATATTGTGTGGTGTAAGCAAGAGGCTACATAACCATGACTGACACCTAGAAAAGCAAGGATGGCATGTGATGAATGAACAGATGAAGAGCGGCACATAACAGCTGAAACTTCTATAAAAAAAGGATAGAACATGAGGAATAAAGGCAATGCACATGGTGTGCAGTGAATGACTTCTAAAGTAAGGCTATAACATAGAACAATGGTGGGGAATAGCCATAATAGAGGCAGATTATGAACAATGACTAACTTCTAGAGAAGAAAGTGCCAGAAGAACAATGACTGAAACCTCTGAAGTAAGAGGATGAGGAACAAGGGGCAATATTTATATAGACGGAAAGAGCATGAGGAAAAAACGGCAGACAATAGAAGTGTGGTATATCTGCACCCTAAAAGCGCCAAACTTTTTACCCAGTGGGCTTGCCCACAATAGAGCAAGCCCATAGGGGAAATGCATTTAGGAGTGTTTTTGGGTGGAGACTGTATGCACTTGCTTTGTGAAAAAGTATAAAAAAAAAACCAATTGCATAGTGACTTAATCTTTATAAGAAATTAACAAAACTGCCATAGCAGTGGGGAAAGGGGATGCATAGGCACCACTTTTTTAGTGAAGGATAGACCATGAACAATGGTGGGACATTAAAGGTAATGTAGCATATAATGGCTGAAACTTCTACAGACGTGTGGAAGGTAATGCTATGGCTGACACCCCTAGAGAAGGATAGCACATAAACAACGACTGACCTTCTAGAAGGGTGGCACATTGACAAATAGCTGACACTTCTGGAAGGGCAAAGCAAACAAATTAGGAGTGGAAGTGGTCTGACCAACACATTAAAGGGTGGAGTATGATGGAATAAGTATGATAGTGCAATGGCTGACCATACTAGAGTAGGATAGAACATTACAAGGGTGTAAGCTGATGAACAATGGCCGACACTTCTAGAGAGTCAAAGGTGGTGAATGAAGAACAATTCTTGAGAAGGGTGGATGGTGATAATGATTGGTACTTCTAAGGATAGAACATAAGGAACAATGGAGAATGGAAGGGTGGCACATTGTGAACAAAGGCCAACACTTCTAGAGAAGAGTAACCTAAAGACAATGGCTTCTACTTCTCAAAGGGTAAAACACAGGGTGGAAGATGACCAATGCATCAAAATGTGGATGAAGAAAAGCAGCTGACCATACAAGAGTAGGATAGAACATGGGGTGAAGTTGATCAACACTAGAGAAGGGTTGGAAGGTAATGATCAATAGCCGACTCCTAGTGAGGCAAGTGTAGAAGACAATGAACTCTAGTCAAGGGTTAAGATCATCATGACTGACTTCTAGAGAAAATAGAATATAAGGAACAATGGGGGCACATGAACAGTCCACACTTCTAGAGTAGGGTAGCGCATAATGAACAGTTGAGACGATAAGGTAGGCACATGGACAGGATGAAAGAAAGGTGGAAGATTATGAACAATGATTGACTTCTAGAGGAGGAAGATACATAAGGACAATTGTGAAGAAGAAGAAAAAGGTAGCATGTGATGAACAATGGCCAACATTTGTAGCAGGGTGGCATGTAACGAACACTTGAGAATAGAAGGGTGGAATGGACAAGGGTTGACACTTCTAGAAGGGCAAAACAAGGGTGGAAGATAACCCATTACCTCAAGAAAGTGCAACATGACAGAACAATGGCTGCCCATACCAGAGTAGGATAGAACATTAGAAGTTTAAGGATGGAAGTTGTACAATGGCACTTCTAAGAATAGAACATAAGGGTGGAGCATGATGAAACTCTGGCTGACCATACAAGAGGTTACAACATGAGAAGTTAGGGTGGAAGTCACACAATGGCTGACTTCTAGAGAGGCAAGGGTGAAAGATGATGGAACAATGGCTGTCCATACTACAGTAGGATAAAATGAGACATTAAGGTGGAAGATGAATTCTAGAGTGGGTGGATGATTGAAGAACGAAAGATAATGACATGCTTCAAAAGAAGTCACAAGGGACACGTTCAGAGAAGGGTGGAGCAGGATGAAGTCAGGATTGACACGTCCAGAGTAGCAAGGGTGGAGCAGGATGAACACACGTCCAGAGTAGCAAGGGTGGAGCAGGATGAAGTCAGGATGGACACATGTCCGGAGAAGTAAGGGTGGAGCAGGATGAAGTCAGGATGGACACACGTCCGGAGAAGTAAGGGTGGAGCAGGATGAAGTCAGGATGGACACACGTCCGGAGAAGTAAGGGTGGAGCAGGATGAAGTCAGGATGGACACACGTCCGGAGAAGTAAGGGTGGAGCAGGATGAACACATCTAGAGAGGTATTGGTGGTGAAGGGTAGACATGTCCAGTGAGATCAGGATGGACACATGTCTGGAGAAGGGTGGAGCAGGATGAAGTCAGGATGGACACACGTCCGGAGAAGTCCGGAGAAGTAAGGGTGGAGCAGGATGAACACATCTGGAGAGGTCAGGATGGACACATCTGGAGAAGTATTGGTGTAAAAGTGTAGACATGTCCGGTGAAATCAGGATGGACACATGTCTGGAGAAGGGTGGAGCAGGATGAAGTCAGGATGGACACATGTCCGGAGAAGTAAGGGTGGAGCAGGATGAACACATCTGGAGAGGTCAGGATGGACACATCTGGAGAAGTATTGGTGTAAAAGTGTAGACATGTCCGGTGAAATCAGGATGGACATGTCCGGAGAAGGGTGGAGGCTTCATTGGAGGACAGAGGGACCACGCCCTGCCCCATCTCTCCATTATGAATCCTCCATGTAGAAGGATGCTGTACGGACACATGGAGGATGCAGTAGTGGTCCAGACACATGGAAGATGTGGTAGCTGCCGCCCCCCGGGCACACTCACTTTGTTCAGCATCTGTGGAGAGAAAACAAGGTGGGTTATTAGACCGGGAAGAATGGACAGAGGGCGGGATGGGTCGGATGGGTCCCCCCCTCACCTCAGGGTTGATGTCGGTGGGTGGCAAGGCCATGCTGTCTCACTCTCCGTTCTCTTCTCGTCGTTCCGAAATACTAAGCTGGGAGAGAGCGGGTGACGCCTCGTTGCTTTTATATGGCCGGTCAAGTACCAAGTGGGGCGGGGAGGGAGGGGGGGAGGTCTGAACTGATGGTACTGTCTACAGACGATTGGACCTGAATCCCCCCTATGAAGGTGAGAGGAATGGGCGCCCCTAGGGCGGTGGTGGTGTCAGGTGCTGGTGACGTTCTGTTCGGGCTGTGTCATTCCAAGTGCGCAACACGTTGTCACCGCGGAGTTGGGTGATGATTGGGGGGTCTGGTACCAGGCAGGGGTGGGGACAGCTCGGTGTGTGCGGTGTGCTCACATCCACCATTGTTATGCATAGACAGGGCTGCAGCATGACAGAGCGCAGACCACACCCTGATCAATGGAGGCTTAGAGGAGCTGTCCACATGTCCTCATATCACAGTCCTGAAATCATTTAAAGGGTTAGTTCACCTTCAACAAAGAACATACTGTGCAGATGAGGGGCAGCTTTGACTGAAGTTGAATAATGCCCTTCCTATAGGTAGCCATTTATGTATCTCCCACAGCCTGGCCAGAAAACTGCCAGACAGCATCACTCTGCCCTGCCTCGTCGCTAGGATTTCAATTCAACCCTCCACTAGTACGTCATCCCTCTCCTATGTCACTGAGTGGCTCTGAGACAAGAGATAGGGATCACCCCTGGAGGGGTTTGGGAGCTCATCCCTTTGGGTTGAGAAGTAATGGCTGGGAGTGTCTTAGCAACATCCTAGCAACAAGGCATTCCTATGCCATCTTTGGGACTTTTTCAATCAGGCTTCAAGAAATATTTAAATGGCCTATATTGATAGCAAGGGATCTTTTAAAACAGAACGGTGGGCAAAACTTTCTTGTTTCATTTTGGAAAGTGTAAGGGACTCTTATAACGCCTGTCAGTTTTTTTTTTCATCATCTGTGTCCCATTGTGGAAATTTTCCTTCACTTCCTGTCCCATAGCCAAAACAGGAAGTGAAAGGAAATCCCTGCAAATCAAGAGAATCCCTTGGGGACCCCCAGGTGGCCAGAACTAGTGTCCCCATTGAAATATTTCCCCTTTGTTACTTTTCGGGGGACAACCCAAAATGTGTGATTTTTCTTTCACGTTCAGTGATAATGATAAACAGGATAAATAGGATGAATCTCACCAATGGGGGCGCAGACAGCAATAAAAAACTGACGGGTTCTAATCCTCTCCAATCAGTCCATAACTAAGAAAAAAAAAGTTTTGCCTTTAGTTGTACTTTAACGTGTTCAGAGCTGCAGTTTGTTTTTAGTTACAGATGCCCCTTACCTGCATAGGCAGTGTTTTTGTAAAGGCGAATTAACCCTTTAAATGAGGGAGGCTGGTGATTGGGTGAAGGTTTCTGCTGTGGAAGCTGATTGGAGCATGGCTACTCTGTACAGTGATTCTTTACTTTTCAAGGGAATATATTATGTAACTGAATGTGGTGACAACCTGGCTTTCTGCTTACGTGTGATAGAAGTCAGCAGAGCTTCACCTCCTTCATAATAACAGATTACAGAGGGAACAGGCTGAGCTCCTATAACAAACCATGCACAGGGCAGGGGCGGACTGACCATTTGGAAATGAGGGCACCGCCCGAGGGCCCAGGGTCAGTAGGGGGCCCCATGAGATGCCCCTGGTACCTTTTTCATAGGCTTTTTTGAGTTTGGTCAAGGACACAGGATCCCCATGATCCCCTATTGCCCGGGGGCCCCATGAGTTGTCAGTCCGCCCCTGCCACAAGGTGTTCCTTCTCCTTCACATAGTCCATGTGGGGAGCCAGGTCCCCCCCAAAATAATTTATAGAAAGCAGACTGCCACTAGCATTAACCCTAGGTTTGCACCTAAGCGTTTTCCGCAGCGTTTTGCAGAAATGCACTACAGTCTATTTAACATGATTTCCTATCAGACAGGTTCACATCTCCGAGTTTTTACCCGGTGTGGTTTTTTGGAAATGGTTTGGGCGTTTTTTGAACATGAAAAGTTGTGTTTTTGCTTCTATAGACTTCAATGGAAATGCTGTAGAAAAGGATGTAGTGCATTTTTGATGCGTTTTTGATGCTTTTTTACCTCCTTTTTGTTACGTTTTGTGTTTTAAATCTGCCTAGCAACAAGAAAAAAAACACAAGACGCATCAAAAACAGGGCAAAAACGCAGGTGCAAAACACAATGAAGAAATGGATCAAACATGTATAGGTGTGAACCTAGCTTAAAGCAGTATTACATCCAAAAAAATATTTATTATATTGCAGCTTACCAATTCTTAGATGTGATGGCTACATTAGTTTTCTTTTTTTGGTTTTCTTTCCTTTATTTTCATCTGGTGATCCAGCCAGTAAGTCTGTTGTTTTTCAAAAGAACAAGCTCTCCTGTAGAAGTAGCAGTTTACAGGGGTGTGACAAACTATTTACCACTGATAGAGGTGCTTACAATGGTCAGCATTTATTTATTTAAAACCTTTATCTCAAAAGGAACAAAACTGTTTGCTGTAACTGCCTATATAGTGTGAGCTGAAGTTTTCCTTTAATTTGTTTGTGTATTCAAATCTGGTAGTACTTTTAACACTCCCCTCCCCCCGAGACTGACAATGCTGCTGTCTGCTGTGCCCCCTGTGCTCCTTCATCCAGAGTGGGGGCCTCTAATACAAGAGGTGTGTTCCTGGCCACGTTCTGTTGGTGCTACACCAGTCAAAAGCAACTGGGTATAATTTCTGCTCCATCTGCAAAGCCTTGTATGTGTACACTGTGGGATATGGGGGTAGTGATTGATGGGCGGTAAAAGCGTGGCAGTTTTTTTTACCTGTTGATCCTTCTTTTATTTCAACTTCCAAGAGGAATGGAAGCCGACGATTTAACTCTTTCCCAAAACAGTTATATTCAATGTACGCCCGGAATGATAACTGTCACACTGATTCTGTTGTCAAACAAACTGACAAGTCATTAAACGCCTGGTGCCATAACTGATCACATGGTAACTGCAGATCAAAGACAGGCTAAGATGGCAGTTTCCTTGACTGTAAGGCTACGTTCACACTAGCGTTGTGTGCAGGCAGCAGAGAGGCGTTTGGGAAGCGTTTTTACCGCTTCCCAAACGCCTCTGCCAATTCTGCACATTACAGCACATGGTGCTGTTCTAACGGGAGCGTTTGCGTCGCGTTGCGGCAAAACAGACGTCTCTGGTCGAGTCAGGAGGCTTTGAGGCCTCCTATTCTCGTCTATGGTGCCGCTCCGCAAATGCCCGGCCGGCGTTTGCGGTGCTGTTGCGGGGCGTTTGCGGAGCGGTAACACCACTCAAACTGTATTATAGGCGTTTGTGGGGCGTTATTAACGCTCGGCAAACGCCTAGCAACCGCCACTAAACCGCGCATGCGGCGTTTGCGGAGCGTTTGCCGAGCATTAAAAAACGCTCCGCAAATGCCGGACCAACGCTTGCCAAACGCTATAGGGGCGTTTGGCAAGCGTTGGTAAAACAGCCAAGTGTGAACGAGCCCTTAAGGATAGGAGCTGTGCAGCAAAAATGGCAGAGGGTTGAGACAGACCATTAACACTCATGGGTGCTTCTAATAATCAGCTTTTTTTTATTAACCTAAATCCTTTATCTGAAAAGGAAAAAAAATGTTATTGTAACTGATTTAAAAAGTGTTACCTGGAGTTTGGCTTTAGTTTTTAGTCAGTTATGTAAAGTCTACTAGTCCATCTGACACAACTTCCTCCAGGCAATGCTGCTGTCCAAGGGTGTCTCTCTTGCTCCTTCATAGAGTGGAGACACCCTAAGACAGGAAGTGTGTCACTGGCCAGATCAGCGGGTGGAAAAACCAAACTATAAGCAGAAAACAAATGCAGCCACCATATATAAGAATTAGTAAACTGAAAATATATACTTTTTTTAATTTTTAAATTAGATACAGAAGTCCTGATATGTGTGTGTATATATATATTTGCTGTTGTTCCCAGTTGCTTCCACTTTGTTACAATACCACTAACAGTTGACCGTGGAATATTTAGTAGCAAGGAAATGTCACGGATGGACTTATTGCACAGGTTGCAACCTATCATGGTACCACACTTGAATTCACTGAGCTCCTGAGAGCGACCCATTGTTTCACAAATGTTTGTAGAAGCAGTCTGTATGCCTAGGTGCTTGATTTTATACACCTGTGGCCATGGAGGTGATTGGAACATCTGAATCCAGTGATTTGGAGGGGTGTCCCGATACTTTTGGAAAGTAACTCTGGCTCAGACCCTCTGCTCCCTGCTCACCACTTTCACTTGTAAACACAGTGGTCCATCTTCTGTGTTAGGTGACAGCTTGTCTCCCAGCAGCTCCCACAGATCTGATCTCCTGAGCAGCTCCCACTGGGTGAAGGACAGGGACAAGGGTTCTGCAGGTGCCCGGGGTGCAGTGCAGTCATGGGAAAGAGGGGTCGCGTGGTAGGCCACCATACTGCAGCTCAGTTTCAGGGTCTTGGCAAACTTCTTATAGCCTAGGCCATCTTTATGTAGAGCAACAATTCTTTTTTTCAGATCCTCAGAGAGTTCTTTGCCATGAGGTGCCATGTTGAACTTCCAGTGACCAGTCTGAGAGAGTGAGAGCGATAACACCAAATTACACACACCTGCTCCCCATTCACACCCGAGACCTTGTAACACTAATGAGTCACATGACACCAGGGAGGGAAAATGGGTAATTGGGCCCAATTTGGACATTTTCACTTAGGGGTGTACTCACTTTTGTTGCCAGCGGTTTAGACATTAATGGCTGTGTGTTGAGTTATTTTGAGGGGACAACGAATTTACACTGTTATACAAGCTGTACACTCACTACTTTACATTGTAGAAAAGTGTCATATCTTCAGTGTTGTCACATGAAAAGGTAGAATAAAATTTTCACAAAAATGTGAGGGGTGTACTCACTTCTGTGAGATCTTGTATATATTTATATACAGT